GAGCCACCGTGCCGCCCATACAAAATTATTAACTAATATAAAAGTAATACTTTGCTTACAAGAATGGTGTTTTACTGAATATTTCATGTTCAGTGTTGTTATTTGGCTCTTGATCTGGCTCCTGTAGATGTTGGATGATAATCAAGAGTAACAAGTAAAACTTTAGTTTTAGTTAGCATAAAGTTTAAAGAAGTAAAGTTGGTCCTCTTGTGCGACTGAATGTGAGAGGATACGTAATCCCTCAACAGAACTCTGGAAGATTCTCCCCCCTCACTTCTGAGATGATGGTTCCAGCTCTGCACTGATGGAAGAAGAACCACACTCATGCTTGTCAGTGTGGGTTAGGGTGTCTATTGTGATTCGTTTCCCATCCAAGTCATCTCCACTTTGGCACGCTTCTCCTCCTTGGGCTTTCATGTGGGAGATCAGGGTTCAAAACCCAGCGACAGCAACTTTAACAAAAAAAAACCCTCTACAAACTTCATATTGTCACACAATTACCCTCATTACAAACACCTGCTGACTTGATAGGCACAAGCTGGTATAGAAAACACATTTGAACTTGGTCACCGTTCACACTGCAAGTGCACTGCTGCAGGTAAAGCCATGCTGCATGGCAATGCACACTTGTTTTTACATCGTAAAAACCCATGTCTAGTTCTGTGCTGAGTTTTGCTGAAGAACTAGGAGTACAGATCGGCTCCAGGAGGTGATCACTGAGTGGAAACAGCTGGGCTGATGGACAGATGGAGTGCAGCTGTGGGGAGTGACAGAGGAGGAAACTAAGAGAAAGCAGGCTGAACACAAGTAACTAAAATTTGGTTAATTAACTCAAACTACAAAGACAACACTAAACTCCTTCATGACATTATCTTCATCATCACTGTGCATTGCATCCAATGCACACTGTTGTGATTTGTTTCCCATCCAAGTCATCTCCACTTTGGCAGGCTTCTCCTCCTACATATTTTGTTCTAGAGATGCCATTGTAATTTATTTCTGTAAAGGTCCTGTGCCAAATGATGGCTTTGCCTTTTGGTGCCTGTACAACTTATAGTTTTTGAAATATTAATGTTTAAAATCATATAATGGCAGTCAATGGAGCCTTGTTGTGGTCCAATACTGCCCCCTGCTGTATCTACTCAGTACTGAACCATAGTTTATTAATATTTAATCTCAATAGTTCTGTGGTTACAATACTAATATGATTGTATTTTGATGTTTTACTATAATATTGTCCTAATATTGCTTTATTGTTGTAATGTTATGCAGTTCTGTGCCAACAACTGCATTGGCAATGTGGCCTCTTTCTGCACACATACAAAGCAACCCCTGGCAGTGCCCTCTGCCACAGCTCCAATGGTCTCATGGTTAATGTCATGGGCTTTCATGTGAGAGAGCAGGGTTCAAAACCCAGCTATTGCAACTTTAACAAAAAAATCTCTTCAAATTTCATATTGTCACACAATTACCRTKATTACAAYCACCTGCTGACGTGACAGGCACAAGCTGGTACAGAAAACACATTTGAACTTGGTCACAGTTCATTCGGCATGTCCATTGCTGCTGCAATGACATGCTACATGGCAATGCACACTTGTTTTTACATCATAAAAACCCATGTCTAGTTACACTTTGATTTTAATTTTAGTTGGCCCTCTGGATTTACATTTCCTCCTCAGTCTGAAGGCTTTGAGTATAAAATCGGCTTAAGAGCTGTTTTACTTGCAGAAAATATCTGGATGGTTGAACACCGATTTTGTGTTGTTTGAGACCATATTTATTACTTTGCTGTSGTGACTCCAGCTTTAACACATCATTAGGATTTTTGAGCCATAAATCTAGTTTGTACATTATTTTAGTGAAAAATGTGTCCCTTTTTTCACCTTCCACACCAGACATGTCTGTCACCTTATTGCAACAAATCTGATGCTTGCAGGTAGTCATTACTTCCCAATTTAGTTCCAGAGTTGCTACTAATGATGTGGATCTTTCAGATCTCCACCAGTGGTTGTTGGGTAACCAGCTGATAATTGCACACAGATGGAAAGTTGCAGCAAAACAGTCCTAACTGTGTCATAAACACATACCATAATACACTAATAGCAGGTCCCCGGAAACACACCGTTCCACCTGATTCAATTACTGCAAGTGAAACCAGGATATCTTCCTCTCTATTGTCCTGGTTTGTATTCTCACACATCCATCAGAAACTCACTGAGGACCAGATGAGAGTAAGATATAAATGTAATAAAGTAGTCATCCTATTATTCCTCTGAATATTTTATACATTAATACAGACAGTGATTCTAAGAGCTGAATGCAGTCATTACCTGTGAAATAATCAGATTTTAATAGATGCTAAAGGCTGATGACTGCAGGTCAGGAACAGGTCTGCAGACTGCTTCATCATCGTCCCAGAGGCTAAATGAAGATCAAGTGTTTCCTCTCAGCTGAATCATTAGCACTGTGAGTTCTGTGGTTCTGACCGAGTTCTGTTTTTCAGGCTGGGATGATCCGAACCAACTCTGATGAGTACTTCATCGAACCGCTGGAGAAAGGTACCCAGGACCTGGAGGACCAGGGCAGGGTCCATGTGGTCTACCGCAGGTCAGCTGTGCTGCAGACCCACTCCGAGTCCAATGTTGACTACCAGCTCCAAGGTAAGCTGGTTAACCAGAGACTGCTTAACTAGAGACTGGTTAACTAGAGACTGGTTAACTAGAGACTGGTTAACTAGAGACTGGTTGACCTGAAACTAGTTAGTTTGAGGAGAGTGATGCCTCTATAGTTAAAACACAGCTTCCAGTCTTCCTTTTTGAAGAGGGGAACCACCGCCCCAGTCTGCCCCTCCAGTGTCACTGAGTTTCAATTCAATTCAGTTTATTTATACAGCTCCAAGTCCCAACATACGTTGTCTCAGGACACTGTWSATAAAAAGAACAATGTAAAGAAGAAAGCAGCAGATTGTGTTGAATCACTTCATCACAGTCTCCCATCCTGAGCAAACGGTGGAGAGGAAAAACTCCCTGCTAATCAGGAAGAAACCTCCAGCAGAACCAGGCTCAGGACAGGAGACCATCTGCCTCGACCGYCTGGTTGGAGGACAGGAAAGAGACACAGACAAACACAGAAGAACTGGTCCAGGACTGGTCCAGGTGCACCTTCCTCTGGAAGAGACAAAAAGCAGAATAAAGGCATCCTCAGCTGGAGCACCTTTCAGCACCCTGACTAAGGACTCCAAGCCAGATACTCTGAACTGTTTGTTGTGTAGACAAACAGAAGTGTCAGAGCTTGTCCAGCCCCTCCGGGGCATCATGGTTCTGAAGTCCATGATGTGTGTTGAGGTGAGCCCAACTAAATCTAGCTGGTTCCTCTGAACCTCACACACCAGCTGAGGCTCCTTCCGCTCCAGAGAGGTGGTGTTCCACATCCCTACAGCCAGCTTTGACTACTATCTATGGCATGGTGCAGCCGACTCGTCTGGCCCCTCATGGTGGGCCACAGGAAGACAAACCCATGTCTCTGAGCCTCAGCCTGATTTTTAAACCAATTTTTTTAGGTTAAAAAGAAAACAACTAAAATCATAAAGATGTATTTCTCCCAGTGGAAGCCAGGAAACAGGTCAGCTGTTTGTTGGACATAATGTCTTCTACAAGGACATGTCCACGGGGGACACATCAGCAGACAGTAGATTATACGTATTCTCCTGGCTCGTCCTCTGTACCACCGTACGGTTCAGTGTCACATGTGAGCGGGTCCTGGCCAGGACTCCCCTGGGACCGGGCTCTGGACTGTCCCATTGCAGACTGCTGAGGGGACGTCCTGCGTGTTTGAAGTGGTCCTCAGAAAGCCTGTTTATTSAGGAGGTGGAGAAGGGAGGAGGAATGTGCTCCACAATCCCAACCTTGTGAGAATATGCTGCAGCTCCTGTTTGTTTTAGCTGCTCTCAATCAGCAGCCTGTTAGTTCCTCTGAGTATCACTGCTACAGGAACACTGCTCTGAGCTCTGCCTCCACATCCACCAGGTCACGGCAGCTGAAATCTACAGAGAAAAAAGGTTTATTTTGGGAGAATTCATAGAACTAAAGAGTTTCCATCTTTTTTTAAATCCAGGAGTTTCTTACTGGAATGGTCTTTGTCCTGTTATAGAAGCTAGAAAGTGTCCTTCTGAAAGCTCCTCTGCTTTAGTTGTGTAGTAAATGTTTTTCACAGTTTGMTTTAGAGATGATTTGAAAGTTTTATTGATGACCTATAGCAGGGGTGCCCAACCAGTCGCTCGCAGGCGACTAGTCGCCCGCCAGCTTCTTCCCAGGTGCCCGGGCAGCACAAACTTGCTGTGGAGCCTCTAATGCCGGCTCTGAGCGTCGGATCCCAGAATGGCTGGTCCTGTTTGAAAGCTCTGGTTCTGCCCTACAAGGTGAAAGTTGAATGAAGTCCCTGCGACGTTCCCCCGCGGAGCAATAAGCAAAAAACCTCCAAAATACGCACCGTCGGACCTCCCGCACGTGTAGTTTTAGCCCCCCTCCCGAGCTAGGAGCATTGGAACCCGGCGTGGCTGGTCGGGTTTTAAAGCCCTGACTCTCTTGATTGGAGTCCCTGCGACGTTCCCCCGTGGAGATATAAGCGAAAAAACCTCCAAAATTACGCAACGTTGGACTTCCGCCGGGGGTGGTTTTAGCCCCCCATCCCGGGCTCGGAGCATCAGATCCCTGAGTGGCTGGTCGGGTTTTAAAACTCTGGTTCTGCCCTACAAGCTGATACTTGAAAGGAGTCTCTGTGACACTGCCCTGCGGAGCTWTAAGCAAATTACGCACAACTTAGTGCATTTTACGTGCATTTTTGGGAGGAAATTTCAACCTTCGTTTGCTTCTCCTGCGGGCTCTGAGCATCGGATTCAGGAAAGTGAGATGACTTTGGAAAGCTGAGGTCCTCCTCTACAAACTGGAGGTAGTGCAAGTTCCTGGGACGTCCCCCCACGGAGCTATTAACCAACGACCAGCCGAAAAAGGGGCTTTGGCGGACGATACTCAATTTACTCCGGAGCCTCTAGCGCCGGTTCTGAGTATCGGATCCAAGCGGGAGAAACTCATTTTAATGTTCTGAATCACCGCTACAACCTGGAGGTGGTTGCAAGCTCCTGGGACATTCCCCCGCAGAGATATAAGTGATCAAAAGTTGTCAAGCGAGCTACGGCGGGTGAAATGGCTGATTTCCAGCACAGGGCTGCTTGTGCTGATGCAGGGAAAAGGAAGAGATCCAGTGAGGTGGAACCATGGTCCCACGTCCAGCACCCGCTCTCCTACCTGGATTCAGCCAGAAACCCCTGGCGGGCGATATTTCTGCAAAAAATCATAAAATTCAGAAACCCTCCTGATGGATCTGTTCCAGGCAATAAAAGGAACAGATCTGATCAGGTGAAACTGGTCCTGGAAGCTCAGCACCGGGTTTTATAGCCGCCTGTGAGAGTTTTATATTGTGTGCTTTGACTTTGAAAAAAAGGGCGGCACTCTTGTGGTAGCCATGTTGACCCTGATAGTTTTATGTTTTGTTTTTCCTCCCCTGTATGGAGAGAAGAGAGGAGAGTTCTTTGAATAAATGGAGACGAGTTCCCGTGCTCCAAAGTTATTTGACTCTGTGGTTCTCAGTGTGCAGGTATTCAGCCCTCATACAGTGGTTTGCAAAAGTATTCATACCCCTTGAACTTTTCCATATTTTGTCACATTACAAC